TGTTTTTTATTTTTGTATGTTTTATCTGCTTCTTGCATTCATTATTTTCAACACAAAACAAAACGTATTTGCATGCCATGTGTTCTGGAGTTCTGTGGATCTTTTCTCTTTTTTGTGCTGTGCATTCACCTTCAGTTTGTAGTGCGTTTCTAAGTTGATCTTTCTCTCAGTTTTTTTCCTGTTACCTTGTTCTATTTTCTGTCCATCATCTATGGATTCTTCATTTTCCCTCCAGTCTGGTCATCTGCTCCACTCCCTTCACCTGTGCTCATTACCCTCAGCTGTCCACTCAATAATCACTCTCCTCTGTACTTAAGCTCTCTTGTTTCTGCACTCCTTGTCAGTTTCTCATAGCTTTTTTTATTGTGGCTCCACATTTAGCTCCTCATGTCTTGGTTTCCTCTGCATGATGTTAATTTTGGTTAGTTCATGTTGTCTTTTATTAAAAACACCCGGCTTCGTTCCCTGTGGCTCGTGTTTGTATTTTGGGTCCTCCTCGAGACACCATGTGACATTGGGCTGAATTATTGCTGCAGGAAGTAACACGTAAAGCATCCTATTAGATGTGGATAAAGGACATGTTTTTGCAATCAGTAATTTGTAATTACAGCATGAACAGAGGTGCATTGTGTCCTAAAATTGCTGCTGTGATTACAGAGGAGAGAAAACAATTCCAGACAAAACAATATGAAGAATCTAGCTAATCTGTCTTAGTGATGACTATCTCTTTTAGTGAGTCTATATTAAAAAATCCCACAAGCAATCAGAAACAGGGCCATGCTTAGTTTTTTTCAATTGTTTCCTTTTCCCCCCCAAGTTATTAATGTAGAATATAGATATATTACAAAATTGTCATGCTTAATCCTGCAAACTGGAATTTGGGGAAAAGCCTTTCTCATAATTTTCTTGGAGGTTCTACAACTGTTAAATACCATTTTTCTTAGAGAGTCAGTTTTCCAGCTACACTCACTTTAACTTTCTTAATGCTTGCTGACAATTTGCATGCACCGTTTATGTAAATTGGTTAGCCTCTCTATACAGCATGGAAATAACCTTTCTTCAGGTCAGAATACAACCTGAAACAAAGAAATTTTGTTGTAAGACATAACAAATATTTTTGCATGAGACATATTTATTCTACATAAATTAAATCAAACAAAGGTTAAGTAAAGGCTCGGTTCTTAAACACATTTGTGGAAAATCATCTGGTTCAAATAACATTGCCGTGAAGCAAGAATCATCCAATAATGTATGGAACTGAGATTTTTCTAATTCTCTACTCAAAGCTGCATCGCCATTCAGATCACTTTTGTGAGACAAAAGGCTTCCTCATTGATTGTCCTGTTGGTCTGAGATTACGCAGCGGGATTCTATAGATTTTCAGCAGCCCAGGGGTCGTGGCGCTCAATCAGAGCTGCTCTACAATTACAGTCTGAGTCATTACAGTGCAACGTTTTGGTACTTACCTGGAATGACAACACGGGATTCAGTCTTTTGTAGTTTTTTGTAGATAGATAAAGTAAAAACATTGGTGCGAAAAGTAAAAAGGGATTTTCTAGAAAAAATATTACTTTGCTTATTATAGACAGGATATGCTGCTCTACTGATGACAAACACTCCATTTGTTGAATTCAAATGATTGAATGTAGACATATTGTATCTACAATGTCTGTTTTTCTACCAACTTTTTATTATGTCATATACAAATATCCCCACTATTACTCAAACTGTCCAAACTGTTTCTGTGAACATATTGTGAGACTTTAGACAGTCTGATCAATGATGTTTGCAAATGTCAAAGGATTGTAATAAATCATCTAAGTAACCACTAACAACCTTTTTTTCTCTTTAATATTCCAGGAACATTGCTGTTATTAATGGAAGTCGCCATTTGCTTCAAACAAACACTACATCCTGAGAACATGCAACGTTTATTTTTAACTGACCACACACTCAGTCAGTATGTTTAATTATTGTGCATTAACTTAAAATATTACTAAATTAAGTACAATAAAAAAAGTCAGTCTATGTTTATAATTAACATGTTGATTGATTATTAAACAAAAAAGCATGAGGTTTTTTATGTAGTTTTTTTTCTCTACACACTAAGAAGGTGAAGATTAATAAATCAAACAGAGATTGATTTGTTGTGTTTTGTATCTGAGCCTTTCACAAAGCATTTTACAGTGTTACTGATTGCACTTGTTTAAACTGAATTCAAATTACATCCCGAATACTTGGCATAAATGTTGAATGTAAACCATTATAATGACAGTCATGGTAAATCATTGCCACTTCCATAAACACTGTTTACAAAACCAGCTGTTTAACAGTTTTTTTTTTGTTTGAGCCCTCAATGATCCTCATTCCTCAATGTAACCTTGCTGGCATTTGTTGAGAGTGATGTATTCTTTGGTCTTTTTTCTTGATGCATCGTCCAAGGCTGGTTCCCAGAAGATCAATATCCTCTCTTCACAGGTGTTTTTGGAGGTTACTTGAATTATAATGTAGTTGTGTTATAATTTGCCACAGTGCAACTTACCTTACTCTGGTTGCATTTCTCTTTTTGTATGTTTACACTATTCTTTTTATGTACTTACCGTTACTCTATTTGTCTGCTTACCATACCATGGTTTCCCACTGTCTATGTTATCATATCATGGCAAAGGGTTTATGCTTTTATTTTTTATTTTTTTTTATGTCCTCTTTACAACTAACCAGCAGTCAGATGTCTGCACTTCCGGAGACTGTTTCTGCTGGAGGTGTCTTCCTAATAAAACTCCACTGTTGCAAGCATGTCTGAAAAAACTTAAATAGAATATTTTTCATTACCAGGAAAAATAAAATAATTTGTCTGATTTGGATTTGTTTGGATCATTAGGAATTGGATTAATCTGAATACTAATTGAGTACTAACTAACTGAACTTATCCTATCTTTAAAGTGCCTGTTAATGTTAGTGTTGTGGATTGGTACAACATTAATAAGTTAATAAGTGGAATTGAACTGAAATGTAGAACAGATTAGTGATACTTTATAGACTACAGTGACATCTAATAACTGCCTTATCTTTAAAGTATCCAAAGCAAAGATCTTGCATAAAAACCCTGACACGGGTATTGCGGCTGTGTAATTACAACCTTGCCACATTATAACCTGCCATTTGTGCAAAAACCAATTTGCAGACCCCCTATAAATACCATTTGGAAAAGGGTACGCATGCACAACTTGGAGCCAGGAAGGATACTTCTCTTGTAGGCAGCCTGATGAAGTAAGAGATACTAGTTCAGGGATGACACACCTCATGATGTTATTTAACAGTCCAGAAGAGCAAAGGTTCTACCTTACTCTAACACAGAAGTACATAGCAAACTTTGACAAAAGAAAAAGTAAAGAGCAGATCATTTGAGGGTCAAACTCCCAAAAATAGCAATTTCTCTGACACAGAATCGAAACAATGACCTGAAATAATAGTGAATTTGGTATCTGAGAAAAAAATACATATTACTTTGCAAAAGTGGTGCTTTTAGTTGTGTGCTTCAAACGATTCTTGCAATTATCAAGTGAGAACAATTAGCATTTCAATGTATGAACCCTCTGCATATTTTTAAATGAAAGCCTCAAGTGTCCTGTAATTGACTAAGGGTTGACTAGGACTTATGACGGCTTGGTAATAATTGAACTAGTGATACATCTGTATGGGAACAATACACAATGTACATTATGGTATAAATGTAATCCTTCCTCAATATGATCAAATATAAACAAAGCAGTGATTCATTTCACCCTCAAGCTATTGAGGACAGACCTTTAAAGCCACAGCCAAAGCCTGCAGGCTGTTGGCCTTATTTAAGTGCATCTCTGTGAATCCGTCAACCAGCAGTCTGTGTTCTGGCAGGTGGTCTGAGGGTATGACCAATATTCAGAAAGGCAGACTTTCAGACAGGCCCTGCTGGGGCTCCATGGGATTTCTAATCTGAGGCCAAGAAAGGGTCCTCCAGGCTGCATCTCTCAGTTCACTGTGTCAACGTCTGTTGCAAAGCCACTGCACAACCACAGACTACATTCACCTGCAGGCAAAGGGGTGAGTTCCTTCACTTCAGCATCGCCAAGAAAACAACACAGCAGTAACTGTTACATGAGCAGGTATATGGCAAAGAACAACGAAAACCTAATAAAGTATTGACCTGACGTCATTGCAAACAGTCGCAGTACACACACGGGTTAAATATTTCTAAAAATATCTAGAGGAAATTGATTTGCAAGACAAATCACCTTTCCGTACTGGTGATCTCTCTCATTTGTGAACTCGGACATATTCACATCTCGTGTCATGTTATAAACTTGCCTCCACTTCCTTCTCATACTACAATGCAGGAAGAGTGCAGCAGGGAAGGAGTTGTCCCCCGCCTTCAGATGTTATTGAACAGGCTAATAGCTCCATTAATGACCTCAGTACACTATGTCTGTACTACCATTAGCAATTCCTGAGGCCAGCTTTTAATCTAACCCATCTGCTTATATCATTGCCGAACAATTTTCAGCTCTCAGACAAAGCTGATGGAGAACAAATTGAATATAGGGTGGTAAGAGAAATAATAAAGAGTCGCTCTCTCTTCTAAACAATGTCAGCATTTCCTACACATGCCAAACAATTATCCTTTTCACAGCAATCACTAAGGGTAGTTTGGTGACCCCATGCTGAGTTTGGATTCCATAGTTAGTTTAAAAGTAGGAGCAAATGCATTCTGAACAGTACGCCTAGCTAATTTTGTAGAACTATTTATATTTCATCTGGGCTGCCTGATTATGGCTATTTCTACCTCAGAATTCCTGCCAATTGAATAGCATTTTCCAGAAACTCCAGGACTAAGCAGGTAAAGAAAATTGATTAATTAATGGATATTTTTCGTGGTTTTCATGCTGTACAATACATCGTTTTTCTACTTGCCATTTAGTATTTTACTGAGTGCCAAAATGAACAAGCAAAGGTTTAGCTCCTCATACCTGTAACTTAAACACAGCACCATTGGTAAATGCACAAACTGTTCTTCTCAGTTCAGTGTTTTATGTGCAAAGCGGGTGAGCAAAGCTCTCTGTAACCTTTTTCCTACCAGCAATTATAAGTCATTATAACATTTAATTTTACATACATTGCTTGAAAGAACAATGGACACCACAGGCATGACAACATTACTCACCCTGATGCCCAGCTCTACATTTTCTCCTCCGTACACCTCCATCCCTTCATCCAGCAGACCAATCTCTTCAAAGTACAGCCTGTCCACCACAAAGCAGCCAATCAGAGCTGGGCTCCTGAGGGATTTAAGATAATGAACATCAGTTTTGTTGTTTAGTTGCTGCAGAGATGGTGAAGTGAGTGATTCATGGCAACTGTATGACTTGCTTACAAGCAAAATCGTTAGTAGGGCTGACATTTACCTAAATCAATGCAGTATGATAATCATGCAATTCACCCTTAATGAGTTTGATTGGAGTTTACTTACTGGATTGGTGCACTCTTATTACCCTTGTGCCACCAAGACTTGGGGGGATTGAGGTAGCGACACCAGAGTTCCCAGTCAAAGCCCTGGGCAGACAGTGGATACTCTTCAATCTCGAATGTGTCATACTTGATGTTATCAAATGATGGGGATATTATTCGAGTCCTGTCCTCCTTAATTCTCTGCAGAATAGGTTCGGCCCTATGAATATGGAGAGAGAAAGTCATTTCAGTGTGTGTTTGGTTTGACAGGCCTTCTCTATTACCCTTATGCTTGTCATGCAGTTGCAATGTCAGGATATGTATTTATATCTAAGGATAGAAATATTAAAATGTGATAAGGCACTCATATCCAACTGATATGGTATAAAATTGTGCTTTAAAATAAATTGATATAGTATATATTCAAATGTTTGCCGAAGAAATATATCCCAAAAAAGGAGGATATTAAAATAGTCTTAAATCTGTAACATCCAAAGAGAAGATAGATGCTTAAAACAAATGTGTTTTTCACGAAACCTTCCATGTTTCCACTGTTCAAATTCAATATGGGGACATATCTTTAAAAATCTTTTCACTTGCACCAGTGGATATGTTCTCTTTCCACTATATTTGATGCTCTAAATAGCTTGTACATTTTCTTTTAGATGTTCCCAACTGTTGAAAATCATGGTTGTACTGTTCTTAAAATGAACATTCTCTATATTGTTTTAATTTACCTTAGGCATAAAAAAATTGCCAAATTTACAAAGACTTGTTAAAAAATGAAACTATTTTCCTTAAACGCCCACAGATGAAATGACTCAAGAGCTCCTGCACTTCTGTTGAGTTTGGCTTGTCTCACCTCGTACTGAGTGACTCACCAGCCAGCGTTAAACTCAACGTGGGCATCAAACAGGGCAACGACTGGGGCCGTGGCAGCCCTCCATCCACTCACTCTGGACCGGATCAAACCCTCCTGCTTGGCATGCCGCACCAACTTAATGAATCCTGGACGCTGACTGTTAGTCTCGGACACGAAATCTTGCAGTTTCTCCTTCAGCTCATCTAGAGAAAACCCAGGGACATGCTTCAATATCTGAAGAGTGTTTTATGGTCCTGTTTGTAATTGGTGAGTAAGAGTGAGAGCTGCCTGTGTGCAAACCACCCACAAACCATCATCATGTCCTCCTCCAGTGGGCTGTATTTCAGTGGTCGGAGGCCAAAGGCACTCATGCTCCACTGCTTTGATCAGTGGACCAAATATGAAGCAATTTGAGCCAGAACTAACAACCTCCATGGGGTTTGCCAGTCACAATGGGTTATTTCAATATTGAAGAGAGTCTGCAATACTTTTCAAAACGTAGGGGATGTTTGGCTTCAAAGTCCACCTCTATTATTACCTGACTTGAGAAGTGAATGATGAATCATAGTGAGAGTGACTTATATGTGAACAGCTTAATTTTCATGAAATTACAACGACTGACATCTGTGTGTTACATTCCTACAAAGTTGTAATTAGAAATTTGTCAAGAATTGTAAAAAAAAAAAACACAAAAAAACACCAAGGCCAAGCTTTACAGTTTGCTGCCAGCAGACAAAAGTGGTGCGACATCCTGCCGTGTCCAGCTTATGTAGAAGCAGCATGATACATTTATTTAAATTAATAAAACGCTTTAACAAACAACATTACTGAGAAAAGTTCTGTTAGAGAAACTGTGAAACATTTTATCCATCCACTCATTCCATAATGAAAGTTTCCCTTTCACCATTTAAAAATACTAAAGATTAATTTTCCTCATCTTCACAAGACTTTAAAAAGAATTTTACTCAAAGTTCAGTCTAAAGATTTCACTAAATCCCTAAATGTGCCAAGGAGAACCATTTGACATGCTGAAAAATAATACTGACACAAGGAAAGCTAGAATTGATTTAGGATTTTATTTGTTTTTCTGCAAGCCAGTCAGAGGTAAGAAAAACAATAATCCTCTTGATTTTTGTCCTCATTCTAACTGTTATCTATTCTGTTTCACACGTCTTTATGCATTTTTTACATATTTATCATCTTTCCTGCATGGTCAAATACAGCATTGCAGGCGGAGGCTGGTGTCCATCCCACCTGCCAGCCTGTGAGAGGCATAGCACACCAGTCACGTCCAACACAGGACCAAACAGAGACCAATTAAACGATTATGCATGCTCACTCATAAGGCCAATTTAGAATAATTAACTACCTTGATATACATGTATCTGAAAAGTGGAAGATACCTGGAGAACCTGGTAAAAACCAATGCATGCACTCAACCAAAAAAATAGACTACAGAGCACATGATTTTGAAAGGAGGAAGCACTTCAGAGTCAGTGTCTTTTATCTTGGCACTATGATATAATTTTTCTCCTCAAAGTTTTACTACTGTAATCAATCCTTTTTTGTGCTTAACTAAACCAAAGCTGACCAGGGAAAGGGATAGAAAACCCACAAATAGCCTACAGCACCCAGCACCCCCTGCAGAGTTCTGAGACAAAATGAATCAAAGAATGTGAATAACAACATGGATGTAAAAAGAAACTATTAAATAGTTTTATAATGTGAACTTTTCAAAACCTTTTCTCAGACAGATTCTGACAGCAAAAGGCAGCTATAAGACTATAAATATTTCACAGAAATGAATCAGAAATTCTGAATCTTTTACTTAGTCCTGTGGAAATGGATCCTTGAGATACCAAGGTCTGCTGCTATTACCCACCAGAGACCAAACAGGTCTGGAACAGAATACTTCTGCACCTTATTGGGCATGAGCTGCATGTAACATGAAACTGGTACTTTTTTGTGTATATCTGGTCGATCTGTTTTTCTCTTCCTTCCAGACCTAATTCTATCAACCAGATCACAGGTGTAAATCTATTTGTATGTGAGCAGAGGGGTTCTGGAGCTAAATCAAGTTTTAGGGCATTGAGCAAAAAGATTAGCATAATAATTCATTTACCGTGGGCTCTTAATTCTTTCTGGGGGGTGGCTGTATTGACTCACATGAGCTACTGCAACAAATCTAATATCTTTTAATTAATCAATAATTAAGACATCCTAGCGTGTGTGAGAAGTGAAAAAATAAGAATGATGTGGTGTTATGCCATGTAACAAATCACAATAAAAGCCATTCATTCATCAAAAATCGCTGGTGGCCAGCACTCATCAATCTTTCAGGACTGATATCCTGCCGAAACTCGGCTAGGAAGATATATGCTTTGGAATGGAGCTGGTCCAGAACAACAAGCAAAAAGGTTATGCAGTCATGAAGTAAATCTAGTGACACGAGACTGTAAAACCTCACAATATTTTCTTAGAAGATGAAAATGAGAAAAGCCACACAGCATTATTCTCAGTGCTGGCTTGCCCACACTCAGACATGAAACAGCAAGAGTGAAGGAACTCTCTCTAAATTTATAAGTTCACCTTTACTTAGTCATTCTTTTCACAATATCTCTTGTCATTTTCTTCTTTTGTGTTGCGTTTAATAAGTAAAAGGATTTTCTATTGCAAAGGGATATTTCAATTGTGCTGTTTCATGGTACAGAACAAGAACATGCATGCGCAGCTATGCATGTCGATCCATGTCTCCATGATTAAATGTTCAATTCATGTGTCTTCAAACAGAATGCTGTTGATCACCATTCATGCATTGCTGCTTGCCCAGCAGATGGTAAATCAGCATGGTTACAGGTCTCACACTAGTTGCTGTGTAGTTTGCACGGCATCACATGCCAATTTCTCACCACACAATTCTACATTTGGAAAATATGGGTGGACTCCAACAGATACTAGTTCCTCCTCAGCAATCAAATCCATGGTTCGCTGGCAGTTTGTTAAAACACTGTTGCTGAAGTTCGAGTATGAATAAATTCAACTTGGCTCAAGAGGATGGACTAAATATTTTTTTGTTTATACTGCACCGGTATTTTGTGCCTTTTCTTAGCCTTCAACAGTTGTTTGCCTGCTGTCCCACTGGTTTCTAACTGTTGTAACTTGTATCTTGTACTGAGGTGAATAACTTCAACTTAAGAGTGAATCATTTAACTCATCTTAAGACATTATCAAAGACATCTTTAAATGTTTTAAAATAATTTTCAAATATCAGAGGTTCAAAGAGATTTAATAAGTGATTTGGTATTAAAACTGTAAATTGAAAACTAAACTCTAGTTTCAAGTGAAAAAAATTAAATGTGTACTGTTGGAAAGACTATACTTTTAAACTTATGAGGAAAAGATCAATATAATGGATCAGAATTGTGCTTGGAACAGCATGAAATTCAAGAAGCACACATCAAACTATAGCCTACTATGCATTCAGATTTTGCAACAGAGGAAAAAGCTTCAGACTCACCCCCGAATCCTTATATCATCACCCTGTCTTAACATGCTCAGATACAACTGAGTCAGACATTTCCTGATCATCAGTGATCCTGCAAAGATAGATGTCCAGAGCAACTGCTGACTTAAATATCACGTTCTTTTTGGTATGCTTTTTTCCTCTAATACTATAATAGTATCTTATCGCAAATGGTGGCTTAACGGAGAATTAAAGGAAAGTAGAGAAGGAAGAAGAAATTCAAAGTCTTCACGACAACCTGTCTTATAAATGAACCCCCGTCTTAAAAAGCCAGCTCTTACACCTGTGATCGTTTCTCAGGCCACGGCTTGGGACATTATCCAATTAAGGAGAAATCAGCGAGGCCAATTTGCCCTTCTCTCCCTTGATGGTGGCATATTCTCCTGAATGCTAATACCTCTTGGAGGTGGGGAGTGACAACAGTGGATGAGTAATGTAAAGTTGTGGATGCCTGGGAGGCTAAATCAGGATGATGACCCCTTCAACAATCCCAGCTGTGGCATGGGTCAACGGGTTAATAAAATTGAGCGCAGATGAGATTCACAGTCATGATGGTAATGATTACACCGCGAATATCAGGCCCGGTGTGACAGAGTGCTCAGGCAGACCAGGTGAAATGCCATCAGCAAAATGTCAAAGCGTGACATTCGTCTCTGAACGAGCTGAGGATAATGACTCTTCAGCTCTCAATTATGTGATGAAATATGGAAATGTATTTCATGTGTTGTGGTAAAAATGCAAGCAAACTTTTGGATTCCACTTTTGTCCAACTCAAAACTTTAGATATTTTCAGCAATATCACCCAGAATCAGAACTCTTCTCTGAATGTTTTATGTTAGATTTGCAAAATGTAGCCTATTGATCTAAATTGGGTTTCAGCAGGCTGCAGGATGTGCTCCATGTTTTGCATTATTGACTTTGGTAAACAGTTTTCCCCAATACGACTGTCTCAGTCCTTGTTGCAAGCAGCACAACAGATCTACATGCGCAAAACCTTTAAATTCCTTTCTCATCTCATAGAATTCATTACCTGTTTATAGCTTGCTTTCTGCTTTTTTGTGTCATCCTTTACATGGACAGCTCCTCCTTTCACAGGTGACTTTGAATCTATTTTTACATGCAGAGCAGACTGATGTGTCTTATCTTCCACATCAGTCATCACAATGTTAACAGAGATCAGCAGTCAAACAATGTCAGCAAAGATAGATTTTTGTCTTTTTCGCATGCAGGTGTAGGACTTAGGCTTAGAAATTCAGATAAGATGGATGAAAACACCAGATCACCTCACTGGAATGTTTGATAGCTCAGGGCAAATTTCATGACTCTACAGCTAATTAGTGTTATTCATCCATCGACTCAACCCAGTGAACGTGGGACCTTAATAAACATTAAAAGAGTCTAGAAACCATAAGAGAATACATTGATATACATGTGCCATCTTTAACTTGAAACTGATTATTAAAATGCCTGACAGATCGACCAGGAGTAACTGGACGGTCAAGTCATTTTTCAAGTCATTTTGGGTAAAGGCCAGTGAGCCCAGAAAACCTCCTTTCAGAAATCAGCAGTCAAATCTTCATGGATGTAGACCAGCAGTTGGAAGAGATGGTCCTTTAATCTCACCAGCTGACAAAGCTGCGTTTGAGATGATGGGTCAATAAAAGGTCCCCTGGAATAGTGTCAGGCATACATTGAATGCGACTACAAATACAGCAAGGCAATATGGGAGCAAAGTGTCCAATCGAAGAGAAAGTGAAAAAAAATCCTTTACACTTGTAGAATTACCCAATAATCTGTCTACAGCAAGTCTCACTGTTCTCAGACCAACCCATTTTCTCAGGAAAAAAAATTGCACTGATGTACGATTGCCCCCCATTTTTGAAGTCAGAAGTCATCCTGATCAAAACAGAAATAGTAAGGTCATTGGTCTTCGAGGTGCAGTCTGCATACAATAAAACATTATCAAACACATACAGAAATACATATTTTCCAACACAACAAACACATAGTTTGTGAAAGCTTTGTTAGGAGCAGGAGATCAATCTAAAAGTAGAAAAGCTAAAAAAAAAGCTTTAAAAAATCTAGTTTCTATTTACACCTGAAAACTACAACAGGTTTATATAGCCAGGACTAAAAAAGCTGTCAATTTCAGCATTTAGCTACCAAGCTACAAACTAAACGATCCTAATTTAAGGGACAGGATTTGGTGTCAGCTCACAGTTAATGCACAAAATGAGGCTTCTTACTGTTATTGCTGTTGTCGTCCACGAGGATTATCTCTTTAAGAAGGTGGGAGGGGGTTCTGTTGATGGCAGAGTGGATGGATCGCAGGATGACAGAGAAGGCTTCATTCACAAAAATGAACACGATGCTCACTTGAGGGAGATTCAGAGAATAAGTAATGTTTCTGCACCTGTGGAGAATAGATGAAAAATCCCTGGTGATGCTGAGCTGAAGCAAAACTGTGTATTCTGGGTCATAAAGAGCATGAAATTGTCACTTTGCCCAGCTTATTGGTAGATTTACTCAGGTCTTTTACCATTAATCAGGTGAAATACCTTTTGGTAATGGCATTTCTTATTGTCAGCAGAGAAAAAAAAATCTAACAACCAGCATCCAACAGGCTGCAAAAGTAGTTTACGTTATAAAGTGAGTCAGTTTTACAGAGGGTAAAGAATTGATCATAAGGTGAGGTCTGGCAGCGGTCTTTCTCATTTCTTTCCTATTGAAACGCAGCTCTCTGTCGGCACATTGTCTATATGATTTAAGCCTGTTCCTCGAAAAGAAAAGTGATGCCAGGAACTTTCATTACCAAAAAGTCTTCTTCCTGTATACCATCCCTTCCTAATAGGTGTAAAACATGGCGGCAAAATCTAATTACAATTCCCCACTATAGTCTCTCGATAAGACTATTTTATCCAATTGTTGAGAAAGAACTACAGTTGAATTGTGATCCCTAAGCTTTCCTCATCCAGCCAGGAGAAAACCACAGAGTCACGCTGCTGCTCACAGTTCTCATGCTCTCCCTCATGCTATATTCACAGAACATCACAGCTCCGTTACTGCAGACGGGAAACTGAGACATAACATGTGTCTGATTAATGTCATACCCGCAACTGTTTCCGACGAGTCCACATAATTTACATGTAAGATGGAATAAAAATATAGGTCACAGGTTGTCAGTAGTTTTCCCTTTGCAGGATTGTGGTGGTAGTGTTCCTGGGTTAAATCAAACGCTCCAGTTTTCACAAGGCACAAATACCTTCCCATGGGTCACTCCGTGAAAAAACTTAGTTTGCGAAGCAGGAAACAAGAGTTAAAAGAATAAAGTGGATATGTTTACCACTATTATGGTGAGGCTTGGGTAGGTAGCTCTTCAAATTGTGTTTTTCCTGTTCCAACTCTACTCAAAATAGTTCCTTTCTTTTATGTTTCCCTTTTCAAAATCTATCCCCCATACTGCTAAGATGTAGTGACAGAAACAAAATACACCATTTCTCTGAGTCTATGTCTGACTGTGCACAAACACAGGTTACTGCACTGAGCGAAACTGAAACAGGATGTTAGAAGAGATGGCTTCAATATCGAGTTGTTGTGATAATAATAGCTGTGCTCTTCAGAACTTAACTGGATGACTCAGAAAGAAAGTAATCTATAAATCTATACTCCCAGTTTATAAATGTGCTAAACGAGTCACTACTCTTCCACATATGGCAAAATGTGATTCACACGTGTGTGTTGTGCTTTGTGATTAATGCCCACTGAATTGTAAACCGCGTGCACAGATTTTCAAACAACTTCAGAGCAAATGAAAACAACAGGTTCAGAGCCACTGCAGCAAAGTTGTGTTTCCACCCACAGGTGAGTTCTCAGTGGCCTGCAACAATTCCACTCATAGAGTTAGTTTTTCCTGTAACTTTTTTCAAACTAGTTATGAAACAATACTTAGCTTTGTGATATTACCCACAGAGAAAAAACAATAAAGTAGAGTCAGTGCAAATTGTGTTAGATAAAATCCCATAGGAGTTTCCTGTACTTTTAGTTACTTCTGTCATCTCATGGTTTATCCATCCTATAGCTCATAAATCCTGCGTATTTCAAGCCACGGTAAAGGAAGAAGTCTTTTTTGCACTCTTAGAATTGATAGAATTTGTATCAAATATAATAGAATTTTACAATCAGTTGACAAATCATGTCAAGTTGAAGCAGGCTGTGGTCACACATGTAAGGAAAGAGAGAGCCGTGATAAAGAAATAAGGGAAAAAACAACATGGCATGTATTAATTTACAAAGAAAAACATAGGCATGTGACACTTTTTATTCATTAAGAATTAAAAAGATGTAATCATCCAACACAATTTCATGTTATGCAAAAATTGGGACATGTTGCAAATGTTACATTTCTGCATTTTTGTGCATTCTGGTTTGACAATACATTAAAAATAAAACACCAAAAGGACGTCTTCAGTCTTACCCATCGGGTCTGAGGTCGGGTATCGGCCTGCTCAGAGAGAGACGATCACTGAGGTAGGCATTATATCCATAGTACTGGAACATCTTCAGTGCCACCCGCCGGTTGTCCGGACTGAGCTCCTGACCCCAGTGAGCAAACAGTGACGAGTCAGAGAATGATGAGTCTGGCTGACCTTCCTCTCCCCTCCCTGGTGTCTCTAGTGGGCACAGAAAGATAAATAAAACACATAAATTCTAAGTCACAGCATCATAACCTACATGCGAGGTTGTACATGTGAATAAATGGCAGTGCTCATAGAATCACTTTGATTAATCTATTTTTCCTTGTGCTGTAATGTATGTTAGCAGGTGAAGGGCAAACTGGTATTTAAAGAGACAGACAGGCTGTCCTTCTGCAGAAACCGCATCCTCTGTAGGAGCACATGCAGATGATGACAACCTCTCCTGTCCTTGGAAAAAAAAGATTTACTCCCTCCCAGCAGCTGGTTGACAGTTTTGCAGTTTGACTGCTGTTTACACATGCTTGACGAGGCGAGGCTAACTTGCCCAAGCATGCTGTGTCAGTAACACACAATACCCATTTAAAAGTTAATGAAATGATGATGTGTGACCACTTCTGGAATCGGTAAAAGCATTTCTACATTTTCTCACACAATGTATGATTGTAGATGGACAAGTTTACTTCCAAAAGGGCTGAAAATTGAATTGTGTAAACACAAAACGGCGTACTATGACAAGCAACACATTACTGTTCAGTCCTAAAAAATAAAGCACTCAATTGAACCTTTAGGGGTCCAAAGACTTGCCACTGGGGTGGTTCCCTTAAAGGTCCTGCTGTTGTCCCTGTATAGTTTGTTCTTCTGCTAAATGGGGACATAAGTATACCTGTCAGGGCCTCTAAAAGCACAAATGTGCACTATGGGATTATCAGAAATACAGGGTATATAAGTCAAGAAAAGCCTCTCAGTAGACATGAATTTACTCCTATTCTGCCCCTATTTTTGACTCTAATGGTTGACCTCTTGTCTGGACTTCATGAAAAAGCATTTACTAAGTATTCTGTGCAGCCTCCAAAAGATTTACCTTCACTACCACTATACGTGCATAACATCAGGAAAGGATCAATTCACAGGAATGGGGTTTAAATGAAAAAAATATTGGGCATAAATTGGATTCAAACAAAGCAAAATCATCTGGAGGAGTATGCACTAAAAGCTTTTCAACCACACTGCCATGGTTACAAAAATCCAAGAGCAGCTTGAAATTTCCAGTGACTTTTCGCTTAATACAGAAATCTTTTTGTGTCCTTAAGCCTGTTGATACATTATCTAGAGATTCAACAGTGTTCAAAACTCAGGTTTGAGTAATGAGGGGGATATTCATAATATCTGGAAACATGGCGTAATGCTGAGACATCCCATTTCACAGACTAGAATGTGTACTTTAAAAATAGGATTTCCATAAAATGAAATACACACATGATCAGGAAACAATGTATCCTCAAATAATGTACCCCAAAGTAATTGGTAATAAAAAGGATATTGATAATGATAATGTCCTAAACGTACAGAAATACAATCAAATGAAAACTAACTCATGTGTTAATGACAGCATTAAAAGACAACTCGTCAGGCCCCTGCAGGATGCTAGAGACCAATAAAAAGGAAACAAATTCCATTATAGAGCTTTAGTATTTCATGTTGTGGCTGACATATTGAGGTTAGCAAGAAGAAATCTCATCCTACCAGACATAAACAGATTTGTTTTCTTTTTCACAGTAAAATGAAGTTAGGAGGAGTGACCAGAGGGGGTTCTTTCTAATGTTATTTGTCATGGTCGGGATTTCTGCTGTTTTGCTCTGCTAGAGCTCTTATATATCATTATATGTGTACAGCTTCAAAAAACAATAACAGTTTAGGATACATAATGAAGAATGAGATCCATTATTATGTCTGAGAAAGTAAAAAAAACACAATAAATCAATTGAAAGAATAAGCTTTAAAGACCCAAAGAGGAAGGAGACTTTTAATCTTCAGTGACACTCCAAGCAAAACACAAGGTTAAGTTTTGGTGTGTATATGTGCATGTGTATGGCTTGTGTCTTTAGCAGATTGCCTTTTATGCAGATTGGGAGTGGTTAATATTCATGAGCAGACGGTTTTAATGTTCAAATGACAAACCCTGTCAGATGAGTAAACGCTTAAACAATGGAGCGGATGCAGGTGTGAAGGGATTACATTATGAAGCAAACAAAAATGAACTAAAAAGGCAGCAGATGACAAAAAAAATCATATTCGAGACGTACACATAGCTGTTGTGATAATGGTTTGTATGGTGTAAAATAGCGTGCAGAGCCCCCTGGATCCTGCTGTTTACGAGATAGGTACATTCATGTTTCTATCTGACTTTTAAGGAAGCAGAAAATCAAAGGTATACCAACCTCTGTCAGCTCCACAAGAGCTGCTGAAGCATGCACAATGTAGGATAAGAATACATTATATAGCAGCTTGTTGCATATGGAGTAATGTGGGGCACCTGTCACATTGTCCTTGCTGAACTCTGTCAAGCCCCGAAAGAATCTACAACAGCACAGGCATTAGTATTGAACAATGGAGCAAAGTAGAAGGGCCGGTGGAATGAATCACATTCTTTCTGTTCCATCATGTGGACAACAGTGTGTACGTGCATCATTTATCTAGAAGGAGACAGCTGCAGAATGCACAAGCGCACAGACAACAAGATGTTGTGGTGGTCATAGTGCTCTGTGGGAAACTTTAGGTCAAGTGACTAAACAAGTGGATATTTCAAGATTCGATATGTGTGTGTGTGTGTGTGTGTGTGTATATATTCACTCTTTTTTTACTCATGATGATTGATTGATTTAGATGTAATGACAGCTTCATATAATTTTTCTGGGTTTACAATGTGGTGCTGTTTTTTTTCTTTCAAGCGTAACAAACTTTGAAATAACCATTAATAATCAAACAATAATAAAAAGAAACAGTCAACAAACATCTAAAGTGGAAAAACAGTTGAATTTATGATCCTAAGGGAGAAAAAGTCCACAGATCTAACAAGGTTGTTAAAAGTTTCACTGCTGTGAAACAGAGGGGAGAGTCTGCTCTTGATAAGACAGCCCTGTGATTAGACCGGATAAAAGTTCTGTAAGTCTTTCAATCTGTTTAGGTCTGCCCGAAGACCCATTCGTCTTACCATTGTGCTAGAGATTAATTGATCCTACAGAGACAGCTCCATCAGTGATGAATCCCTTAAGCAGCTGTTAGGGCAGGTTGGTGTTGTTTGAACAGGGAAAATTAGCCACCTCGTTCTGTTAAGTGTGTGTCGGCAGCCCTACTTTATGTATCCGTTCAAATGAACCACATGAAACAGTGTACCGTATGTTGCATTTGTTTGTCTGTCACAGAGATTATGGTACTAACTTTAACCCTGTATTTAGTGTGTTCATTCCTTTTGAAGACACTTTCTATCAACCGACCCAATGTTCAAATTAGGCATAATCCAACAGAGAAGATGAGAGAGAATAGCGTGTGAGTGTGGTTGTGCGACTGTGCGTAGAAAGTTAAAGCATTTCTCAATCTTCTGGCAGCACTGTTAGCATCTGAAACACTGAGTGTGCTTTGATGGAGTGCAGAGCAAGGAAGCTGACTTATAGCGGTCTGCTCTCACATACAACATCTTTAAGAGACAACTCTTCACAAAGGTAACCCTTCTGGAGGACCATAAACCTACATAAGAGAAGTGCATGCCAAACAAGTAAGATAGTTGAACACATTTTGAATTTTAGAGTCATTATAATTTTTTGCTCCAGTGAGATAAACCTCTGCAGGGCTAAAACACACTGGTACTGATATAGACTCTTGATAAGGCTGCTGTAGAGAGGAGGAGTTTCCATTTCACCTGCCAGTACCAACTCAAAGTCACAACGGGAAGAAACATAGAGGCATTGCACTTTTGCAGCTGTCTTAGTATAACTCAGTGAGGTGGAAAAACTCAATCATTAAATTTTACGCTATGCCAGATGGGGGAAAAATAAATAATCTGTAAAAAAAAAAACAAGCTGAAGCAGGGCAAAAGGAAGAAACACAATTCCTTCAACTTCATCGGGAACCGAAAAAGCGCTCCAGAAAATCCTTATTTGCAGTGTTGTGTAATTCAAAAATCCTCATTTTTCAAAAGAGGGCTTCTAAACAGCTGATTATTAAACAGATTTAAGCCCTTCCACAGATAAAAACTTCTGATCTTCTCTCACTGGCTATTACCACTTAATTGCACCTTACAGAAGTTAGAATCAAATAAAATATAAAAGTCAATTTAATTGGACCACTTTGGACCACTTGTGTTGCTTTCATATAACATCTTATAGAAAAGAAGAGGAATCCTTTAACCTCTAAAACTCCTCAGGTTTTTAGGTAGACTGTACAATTTGTGCTTTGTATATAAAGATAAAATACAAAGGGATTTGTGAACAAATGCAGAACATTACAGCTACTTGTTTTGGGGCTTTTCTAAGACTTTCTAATAATTTTTAATGCTTATGTTTAAAAGCGATACTTAGAGTGAAAGATACTGTTGCATCATTAATGACTGAATATTAACAGATAATCAATAAAAGATTTAACATGAAAAAATCTAACAAAAATATATCTGAGCTTACTACAGATGACTGATGATGATTGTTCACTTCAGGGTTTTGCCTAAAATCTGCTTGAATTTACACAGGACATTTATCTATATTTAATTTTCTATGGTTTGCCGCTGTGCAGTCTACCATCGAAAAGCAAATGTTTATTTTACGGTACCCAATCAAGACCGACTGTTGCTTTGTCCTTGTCATGATTTTACAGTTGGTTAGTACCCACCAATTAGTACTGACAGTTTATACTCAGTAAATGTGTCATTTTACATCCAGCGTGATGAACTGCAATAAGAACCCAAAACAGCAAACGCTTTGTTGCTGTCAGAATAATCACTGCACATGAATTCTCACTCAGACTGAGGAGGAGGAGACCATCTTGTAGTACACAACAGTGTACTTATGGAGGCAGGTCCTACCATCAGTGTGAATATTTTAGGACACACAAACACTGATTCTAATCCCTGCCATCTGATCAGTCAACTGAAACGGAGCAACTTAAAATAAAACAAAATCTTAATGGGAGTCCATTTAGATTTGGAGCAACAGAAGTTCA